AGAATCCTAAAGCTGGAAGAGACCTCAGGAGTCATCCAGTCCAGCCCCCTGCCCAAGGCAGGAACGATCCCAACTCAATCAACCCAGCCAGGGCTTTGTCACGCCGGGACTTAAAAATCTCTAGGGATGGAGATTCCACGCCCTGACTCGGATTGTTCCTTCCTCGGAGCACTTTGCGTTTGTCCTTATTCAACTTCATCCTATTGACCTCAGACCATTTCTCCAGTTTGTCCTGATCAGTTTCAATTCTGACCCTCTCCTCCAAAGCACTCGCCACCCCACCCAGCTTGGTGTCATCTGCAAACGTAATAAACGTCCTCTCTATGCCGATATCGAAATCGTTGATGAAAATATTGAATGGAACCAGTCCCAGAACAGAGCCCTGCGGAACCCCACTGGTTCTGCCCTTCCTGTATGACTGTGAACCATTAATAACAACACTCTGACTTACTTATCCAGCCAGTAGCAGGCAGTGTCGTGTGCAACCAGCGCGCACCACGCTGCACGAGGCCTCACTTTACGTGTCACTTTGTGATCCCGGTAAAGAAAAAATGATGCAGAGAAACTTGCCAAATCTGGCAACCCTGCGCATGGGCCAAATGTCATCAAACTGCCTGGCGGGCCACCCTTAGAACATCAATGGGCCACAAGTGGGTTGCCCACCAGTGGCCTAGTCTGCGCTCTGCAGCTCTGAGCAGAGAAGTCCACCCAGTTACCCCCCCATCTAGCCCAGGAATTAGTGTTTGGCAAATGCATCTTCCAAGAAGGCAGCCAGCCTTGACATGAAGAATCCCCCACATCCCTTGGGAGTTTGTTCCACGGCTCAGCCCCCAACCATGGCAGAAATGCGCATCCATAGAATCCTAAAGCTGGAAGAGACCTCAGGAGTCATCCAGTCCAGCCCCCTGCCCAAGGCAGGACCGATCCCAACTCAATCATCCCAGCCAGGGCTTTGTCACGCCGGGACTTAAAAATCTCTAGGGATGGAGATTCCACGCCCTCCCTAGGAAACCCAGCCCAGGGCTTCCCCACCCGCCTAGGGAAATAGTTTTTCCTAATCTCCAACCTGGACCTCCCCCTCTGCAACTTGAGACCATTGCTCCTTGTTCTGCATCTGCCACCACTGAGAACAGCCTCTCTCCATCCTCTTTGGAACCCCCCTAGCCCAGCCTCTCTCCATCCTCTTTGGAACCCCCCTTAGGTAGTTGAAGGCTGCTGGCACCCCCCCCCCACACACACACACTCCTTTCTTCTGAAGATTACTTCCTCAGCCTCTCCTCGCAGGTCATGTGTTCCAGTCCCCTAATCATTTTAGTCGCCCTCCGCTGGACCCTCTCCAATGCGTCCACATCCTTTTGGGGGGGGGGACGACAATACTCCAGATGTGGCCTCCCCAGAGCCGAATAAAGGGGAATAATCACGTCTCTGGATCTGCCGGCAATGCTCCTCCTAAAGCACCCTTATATGCCATTAGCCTTCTTGGCTACAAGGGTGCCTTGCTGACTCCTGTCCAGGTTCTTCATGGTCCATTTCATCTTTTGGGTCAGCTAACCAGCGCTCGGGAGAGCTCCCCAGCCTGTAATTATGCTTTGGATTCTTCCATCTGAAGTGCAGGACTCTGCGCTTGTCCTTGTTGAACCTCATCAGATTCCTTTTGGGCCAATCCTCCAATCTGTCTCAGTCACTCTGGACCCTATCCTTATCCTTCAGTGTATCTACCTCTCCCTCTAGCTTAGTGTCATTGATGAACTTGCTGAGGGTGCAGACCAATTCATCATCCCAATCATTAATGAAGATGTTTAACAAAACCAGCCCCAGGACTGGGGCATTCTGATCACCGGGATCTGGGGCATTCTGGTCATCTTCTGATGGAATTTTTGTCCATATTGACATTTTTCTGTTTGCAAAAATGTGTTTTCCCTCAAAAATGTTTTGAGGAAAAATTCCATGTTGAACTTTGATGAAACCCGAGTCATATCTTCCTGTTTTGTCTCTCCCTGACCCAATGGTTCTCAAACTTTCTGTCCAATGGTCCATCCCACTCAATACAGATCTTTCCAGGGACAATCAACCAACCACCCATAATGACAAAATGGGTGCTGGATGGAGTGGGGATCTGGCCTAGAGGTTGAGTGCAGGAATAGACTTGGGAGTGGGTCTGAGTGGGAGGTTGGGTGCAGGAGTGGGCTTGGGGTGTAGGAGTCTGGGTAGGAGGTAGGGCGCAGGAGCAGGCTAAATGTGGGGTGATCTGGGAGAGAGGAAGGGACAAGATTAGGGTTGTGTGGGGGGTTTTGGTAGGAGGGTGAGTGCGTGAGGGCGCTGGGGTGTGGGCATAAAGGGGACAGGGGGC